CTTGAGGGTGATATGGAAACCAGGTGAGGCGAAGTCGAAACTGCACTCCACCACAGCGTGGATAAGAACACTTTTTGGGAAAGCAAGGATACGCGAAATTAAATGGAAAAGCCAGACTTACTCATATCACCTAAACAAAATATGATGAATATATCTCATATATATGATCTCCTGGTAGTCTCTAAAACTTACTTATGAACGAAAATTGTGGGATTTATGGTCCACTAAGACTTAAATAACTCGCATAATGATTGCAGTATGGATGTTTTTCAGTGTGAATTATGAGATCAGACCAAGTAGAGCTTCAAATAATAGATTTTATACCAGACAGGTTATGGGAGAAAACATGCTCTGTGAATTAGGAAATGGAGAAATCACAACATCCAGGAAGGAATTCTCACCTGTGCATTTTTGAGAGGCACAAAGCAGGCACATGCTATTCGAGATTACAGGAACTGAGTGGGTATGCCCTAAGCAGGCTTCCAGTATGGTCGTCTTGGAACTAAGGTTTGAGGAGAGGGGTAGCGATACATCAGTAATCAAACCAGTACTGGTATCCATATCTGCAGCCGAAAGAAGAAGCATCAAGTCTGGGGAAGCGTTGCTGCGGGCAGAATTGTCACAACTGTCATTACTATTAATAATGGCACTTTTAGTTACTGGGGGACTACTCAAAGGAAGAGAGGCTGTATTAGATAATCCAGGAGTCTGTATATCTGCAGATAATAAGGCACGATTTAGACCGTTGGAAGAGGCGATGCCAGGAGCGAGGCTCATGTCAAAACCATTACTATGCGTCACAGGAGCTCCGCTGAGGCTCGGGATAGTCTTAATGCTCCCGCCCTTGGTGGCAGTCGACTGTCTAGAGGGCCGGACCATCGAAGTGGTAAGCTCGCTGGCTGCCTTGGCAGGAACTGTCAAGGCTGCTGTCGCCGCCGAGAATGGGACTATGAAAACTGAACTGATAGCTTGCGGAATGGAAACATTTCCATGAGCAAGGCGCGGAGAGCAGGACGGTAGGGCGAGTTGTAGAGGTTGGGGCAGTGAAAGAAAGCAGCCGTTGGAAATGGAGTTGCGGGCAGGAGGAGAAGCGATGGAAGTGCAATGTTTTAAGTTCAAGAATGAGGCAGACGGTGCAACGGATGAAGAGGCAGATAAAGTGGTCATTAATTGAGCGTGGTTCTGGGAAGATGGGTGTGATGAAGCTATAGGAACGGATAAGTTGGGTATAAATGAGGTGGAGGTGGGTTGTGGGATGAAAGAGGAAGTATGCGAAACGAATGTGGAAGGAGCCTGTGAGTTGGTGAAATAGGAAAGAGAGAGGCAAGAAGAAGAGGAGGAAGAAGAAGAGGAAGAGGAGGCAATGACGTTAGTAGAACTACTTGTGGTCGATGGTTTTGATGTGCCATGAGAAGACGAACGGGAACTGTGCTGCTCGCGATGAATTTCCGATGTATGTCGACTAAATAAGTTGTTTAGCTGTTAAGAGGAAAGGTTGGATATAAAGATACAAGTTATGCACACACAGAAACTATATAGTAAAAATGAAATAATGAACAGATGACTAATGAAAAAAGACCATCAGTAATTCAAAAGTACATGCTGAGGCAAGTCAGTTTCGGAAGAAAATGATAGAAATATGCAGTTCAGCTTGTACTTAAGCCTAATCTTAAAATGGGGCTCAGAACTTGATTAAGAAAAAAATAACTATTTCGAGAGAAAGGTACAAGCTAGCAAATATTAATCAATGGATTATATTGTAATTCAGATGAACAAAAAGTTGGTTCTAGAATATTCTACAAGATATATCCACCATAAATGCAAAGGCGAGTCAATAGGAAAGATTAAAAGGTTGATAAAAGTTTTCGATAAACTAGTGACTAGAAATCAAAAATCCAAGTCCTGCTTAACCAATTGGCATTTTGTATATTTGCTGAAAAAAAAGTGGCTGAAGCCCTTTACAAGGCTTAGTTTCCTCAAAATTACTTTAATGCTGCACTAACTGTATTACAAAGTGGAGTTAAATGGCAAATAATGGCTCAGTTTTCAGCATACCGTAAATATAACATTTTAACTTTAGTTAATAACTTTCTTACTCTAATAGGATATAACAAACAATTTTGATTGTTGAGCTTACTTCCATTTCAAGTGAAAGTGTTGGGTGAAGAGATGCGAAGGTCGGTTCCACCAGAAGACGACGGCGGATTCCTCTTGACCAGCTGTCGATTGCCTTAACTGGAACATTCATGCTGACGCTATTTCCGAAGAAATCTCCTTCGATTACGGTGAAAAGGTGCTAAGCTTTCGTCCGTCATATGACGGACATCATCAAAGCGAGGTAACATCGTTACAACAAAATTCAAGCTGAGTCAAGAAAACTCACCGGCAAATCCCTAAAAAGTGGTATCTATTTTCTACATCTGGCCTCTTTGATCAAGTATAAAGCCAATCGACAGCTGATCAAAAGAAATCAGCCGTCGTCTTCTGGTGGAACCGACCTAGGAATCGCTTCACCGAACACTTTCACTCGAAATGGAAGTAAGCTCAACAATTATGAAACAAGAGATTCCTTGAAACCCAACTTTTCTTCGCAAACAATTTTGAGCCGAGCCTAAGTGATTCTGGATGTCGGGTATGGGTATGGCTTTAACATAAGGTCGGTTCTAATTTGCTTTCGGTCTACTAGTGCGTGCAAAGAGCAAAGAGATGTTTCATACCAAGAAGCAAATTCTTGTTTTAATTTAAAAACTGATTGCATTCATAAAAGCAACCTTATCAATAATTAACGTTCAACTGAGGGAAGCTATAAAAAATTATTAAGTACTGAATAAAGGAATTGCAAGCTAACAAAATTCTTGAGTTTAGCCAAAAAATATCAAATAATCCTTTAACAAAATGGAGCAATGGAGAGCTCAATAAAGATATTATTATGCACGATCACAGTGAGAAGATTGATTTCGACTAAAGATATTTTGATTACACCCGTGCTGTGCGCGTAAGTGCTGATGATGAAGGCACACATTCTGGTTCCTTTTGTTTTAATACCAAAGTTAAGGACTTCGGTAAAGTAGTTTTTTTATGATAGTTTTTATTCAACAACATGGCCGCGCTTATGACATCCTTAACATTCTGACGGAATCAAAGTGGTCTGATGAAAGATCGCATTAATTGAGCTTTGTTCGAAGAATAAAACAAGATTGGGATTATAACTTATTTAGTTGATATAATAAAAGGATTTCAATTCAAAGATGCCTTTTGAGAGAATTCAGCATGAGGAAGGCTAATTCAAAATTTACATTCGAACAATTTCTCACGAAAGTATTCTCAAACAAATAGCAAAAATAAACCAATTTTCAAATTGACGTAAAATAGAAAAGGGAGAATAAGCTGGATAGAAGAATATAAAAGCTATATATACACTCTCCTTCTTTCTATAGGCATCGATACTGTGGCACAAACAACAGGGGCTTATATCGCGCAGCCATAGAGAACGCCTTGCTACGCGCCAAATCCAAA